GGACCAGTTGGCGGTTCAAGCAACCCTGAAGCGACCGTCAGTTTCTTAAGTGGAGGTCAAGAAACGCTGTCAGCACAAATTGAGCGAATGTACAACGCGGAGTTCGGCGAATCGTCTGCGTCATCTAAAGAAATGATGTCGATTGAAGATAGAAGAGCCCTGGCAATAATGGAACGAACCGTTCAGATGGTCGATGGCCATTATCAGCTCTCCCTTCCTTGGAAGTATGATAATCCGTGCCTACCGAATAACAGACCTATGGCCGAAAAAAGACTAAATCTTCTGAAAAGACGTTTGGAAAAGAACAAAGTTCTCCAAGAGAAGTACAAGGATGCTGTTGAAGATTACATTGCACAAGGTCACGCGAGGAAAGTATCTCTACATCAAGTGCCACGTTCTGTCTGGTATCTTCCCCACCATCCTGTGATACACCCGCAGAAACCTGAGAAGACCAGAGTTGTGTTCGATTGCGCCGCTAAATTTCGCAATACGTCACTCAACGAACAGCTGCTTCAAGGGCCAGATTTAACCAATAATCTCGTCGGAGTACTACTTCGTTTTCGTCAAGAGCAAATAGGTCTTACGGCCGACATAGAAAAGATGTTCCATCAAGTGAGAGTGTCTCCTCAAGACACTTGTGCTCTGTCATTTTTGTGGTGGCCTGGTGGCGATCTTTCTAAAGAAGCAGAAGACCATGAGATGCTTGTTCACCTCTTTGGAGCTAAATCATCTCCTAGCTGCGCAAGTTTTGCATTAAAGAAAACCGCAGAAGACAACAAAACGGACTTCGATGTGGAAACCATCGATACGGTTAATAGGAACTTCTACGTTGATGACTGTGTTAAATCGGTCGCAACAACTGAAGAGGCGGTACGATTAGTTGAGCAGCTGCCAGAATTGTTGAGTAGGGGAGGCTTCCGCTTAACAAAGTGGATCAGTAATCGTCGAGAAATCTTGTCCTCAGTCGCTAAGGAAGACCTAGCACCGTCAGTGAAGAACCTTAACCTAGACTTAGAAGATTTACCGTTAGATCGCGCCCTTGGCATGCAGTGGGACACGGAAGAAGACACCTTTGGGTTTAGGACCATTCCGAATATTACAGCCAACACAAGGAGAGAGATTCTTTCTGTCACCTCATCTCTATATGATCCTCTTGGCCTAGCAGCTCCAGTTATACTTCCAGCTAAACGACTGCTTCAGAAGTTATGCAAAGACGAGCTTGGTTGGGATGACATAGTCCAAGAAGACGACCTTCTGCAGTGGAAAGATTGGACAAGGGGCATCATTGGTCTTACCGAAGTAGCCATACCACGTTGTGTGAAACCGAGAGATTTTGGCGAGCTCAGTTCCGTCCAGCTGCATCATTTCTCAGATGCCTCGGAAGAGGGATATGGAGCTGTCTCATACCTGCGCTTAACTGATGCACTTGGTAATATCGCCTGTAGCATCTTACTGGGAAAGGCAAGAGTTGCTCCACTGAAGACTGTGACAGTACCACGACTGGAGTTAACGGCTGCCACAGTCGCTGTAAAGCTTCACAAGCAGATCAAGGAAGAACTCACTTTGCCTATACATGAAGTGACGTTTTGGACTGACTCTACTATTGTCTTGCAGTATATCAACAACAGTCACACAAGATTCCAGACATTCGTCTCCAACCGGCTGGCAACGATCCACGATATCTCTACCCCGTCTCAGTGGCGTCATGTTAGCTCTGATCTGAACCCAGCAGATTACGCGTCTCGTGGGTTTAATTCTCATGAACGTACCAAACTGAAGATATGGCTCGAGGGACCAAGATTTTTGTTGAAGGACGAAAGCCAGTGGCCAAATCAGCCAACCCAGCTTCCTGAGATTGATGAAAATGACCAGAACGTCAAAAGATCGAAGAAAGTCCAGACGCATGCTGTTATGCAAGATCAAGGGTTTGACTCGTTGGTTTATCACTACTCTTCGTGGTATGGTTTGAAAAAGGCTCTAGCTTGGCTGAGCCGCTTCAAGAATTACTTGCTGTATCGCACAGGGAAGATTGCAAAAGAAGACGTCAAAAGAGGAGAATTATCCGTCCGCGAAATCCAAAACGCTGAAGTGGAGGTCATTAAGTACATGCAAAGGCTGTTCTTTCCGAGGGAGTTGAATGCACTGATGACTGAAGCTCAGCAACGCCGTAGTATCTCTAGAGTGTCGGGGAAACGCCTTAGTGACGGTTCGTACGTCAGCCCACTGCGCAAACTCAATCCAATAGCTGTTAATGGGTTAATCAGAGTTGGTGGTCGTCTTAACAATGCAGAGGCTATCGATTGTTTCATGAAGCATCCAATAGTTCTGCCAACCAAGCATCACGTAACTGACATGATTATTCGCCATTATCATCAGATAGGCCATGTAGGATCAAGTCAAGTTCTTGCTGCAATTAGAAGGAAATTTTGGATTTTGAAAGGTGGTTCAGCCGTCAGACGAGTGGTCAGCAAGTGCATCAAGTGTAGAAGATGGAACTCAAAGCCGGAAGCACAGATTATGGCTCCGCTACCTATGGCTCGCGTCACGCCTGGGGATGCACCGTTCACCGCGGTTGGAATTGACTACTTCGGACCAGTGCCAGTCAAGTTGAAGAGAAGTCGAGTTAAACGATATGGGTGCATTTTCACCTGCCTAACAATGCGAGCAGTGCATATTGAGGTCTCTCAAGATTTGACGACTGACTCGTTTCTGATGGCGTTTTCAAGATTTGTCAGTAGGCGTGGAGCACCAACAGAAGTTTACAGCGATAATGGTACCAACTTTAAAGGAGCAGAATGTGAGTTGAAGAAAGCTCTTAAAATGTGGAATCAATCACGCATCACAGAGAGTTTACGCAAGCGCAGTATTCAATGGTACTTCAACCCCCCACAAGCAAGTCACCAAGGAGGGGTCTGGGAGAGAATGATTCGCTCTGTTCGCAAGATACTGCGCGCTCTCCTGGGAAACCAAACAGTGAATGACGAGACCCTTCTCACTGTTATGGCAGAGGTAGAGAAAATCCTGAACGACCGCCCACTCACAAGATTAAGCGAAGATCCAAATGACTTGGAACCATTAACGCCGAATCATCTTTTGTTGTCTCACCGTAATGCATGTGTTGCCCCTGGTAACTTCTCCACTGCGTCCACAGACAAGTATAAAAAATGCTGGAGACAAGCACAATACCTGAGTAACATCTTTTGGAGAAGATGGGTAGATGAATACTTGTTATCTCTTCAAGAAAGGCAGAAGTGGATTCGCCCGCGCCGGAATGTAGCTGTTGGAGATTTGGTTCTCATAGCTAATGAGCACAGTCCGCGTGGACAGTGGCCAATGGGTGTTGTTGAAGAAGTTACACCAGATCGCTATGGTGCAGTGCGACAAGCTACAGTTAGAACCGCCAGAGGAATTTTGAAGCGAGATATTAGAAAGATATGCTTGCTGCTGGAAGCTGCCGATAATTAATCCCAGCTGTTAACACAGTGTAACTTGTAAGGACAGACAGACCTCTTCGAGGTTTTGGACAAAAAGGAGCCAGTTGCTGGAAAGGAAGTTCCCTGATTGCAGTGATCACTTAGCTCATAAATACGTTGCGAACTGTGTAAAGCAATTAAGCTGTTAATTGTAGATAAGGTTTTTGAATATTCTAAATAAGTTTCGTTTACTAGTTTCGCTTAGTTTTCTTAAGAAAGGCAAGGCTTGAATGCCCGTCTGCCTTTCGAGGCCGGTGTGTTAAAGCGAAACTTCTAGAACTTAGGGTTTTCTTTGTTTTTTTTGTTCGCGTCTACTTGCAATTAGATGTAATTGTTTATAGTTTTCTTTTGTTATATTGTTTGCTTTCTTTTTGGTGCCACCATCGTTGCATAATGTTATGTAATCTGTCAAGTTTTTTGGTATAAACTTAGTCTTGTCGGTCAGTGTTTTTTACAGTTTTTATCGGTCAAGAACAGCTCATTCCTTTTAACGTTAAGTCAAGAAACCGTTAAGGTAAATTTTAGTCATACGCCATTTGTACGCTTTTTCGTTTTCTTTGATGTATTTGTTATTTTGTACTGATTTCTACATTTTTCGTAATTTCGTATTCTTTGTATTTTTGGTTGTACAGTACCGTAGGAGTGTGATTTCTAAAATAAAGCGGTTGGACACTAATACGCGTGACTCCGGTTACAGGTACGAACGCGTTAACTGGACGACCAACTGTTGACATAGGCTCCTGTTGTTGACTGACTTCTCTCTCCACACAAGACTCGTTCACTACATGAGATCCACTTTACCCTGTCACGGAAATTCATCGGTTTTATGAATTTTTATTTATTTATTTATTTTTGAATTTAGGTTTGAGTTGTCGCTAACTAGAGACAGGTTACTAACTTCAGCCCAGCAGAGGCTATGTCCAAATGAATTAGTGCATGTAAACCCTGCTCGCCAAAGAGCCTCTAGTCGGCTCAGGGGTTAGAGAATCCGAACTTGAACTAGGACATCCCTAGGAGGGTCTTGAGTTTGATTCTCTCCTGGAGCTCATAAAAAATGAGTAATTTCCCCCGCTGCTATTTATTCTTCATTCATTTATTAATCTATTTTTGTTTTTATGTTATTTCTCACAGTATAATAATTCCTTCCAATTTCATCAGCAGGAACAACGGAGGAACGATGATCTGCCACCCCGGGAGGCTATTCATCAAAGTTTTATGTTTTATACGGGCAGGCTCCCATTACCCTTTTACATACGACTTTTGACAGAAAAAGCACACCTTTCGTATACTTACTATTTAAAAATGTTGCCGGAAACAAAACCTTGAAATGAAGCAAGAAAGAACAGGAGTCTCGCAAGCTCCACGCCCCCACAAATGGCCGGGGGAGGCTGGAAACACAGTCTTCTTCCCGGAAGAAACAAACAACCGATTCTAGGAAAGCACATGCTCCCTTCCGCTGGTACCTGCATGTGCGTACCACATCGAAGCGTACCATTCGACTTCAATGTACGCCTCTGAAACTTGGAAATGCCTTTCCACGACAAATATTTACCGTGTGTGAGGGCGAATCACTACTGCTCAAGGTGTGATCGAACATTCTCTGACAAGGACAGTTTAATACAACATTTACAACACAATTCCAAACACTCTGTTCGTGATGTACCCGAAAGTTGCAAGCACTGTGGGAGATCCTTCTCATGCACGAGAGCGTTAATCCAACACCTTAAGAATAACCGACATCATCTGAAGGATCTGCATCACGCCGCCTGTACAGGTAGATTCCAGCTCGTCGATACCCTTATGAGATGTGAGAATGCTGATGAACCAGGCGATTCCCATCTTCGTTCTTCGAAATCAGTGTCAAAATCCCAGATGGGATTCACGCCGATGCACTGTGCCGCCTTCGGTGGTCACTACGAATGCCTGAAGATTATGCTCAGTTGGTCAGATGGGAAGCCAAATGTTGCTGATCCTAAGGATGGTAGAACCCCTGTCCATCTTGCTGCTTGGAGGGGACATGCCAATTGCCTCAAGTTGCTACTCATGAATGGAGGCGACTTGCATCGACCTGACCAACATGGAGATACTCCGTTTTCTTTGGCATCCGATTACAACTGTTTATCGATAATTTTATTCCATCTAGCCGGTAAGTGAAAGTACGTTTGTAAGCGGGTATTGTTTGTTTGTTTGATTTTCATTTACTTCTTTCGACAATCTATTATTTAAACTCATTATGTTTGTAAATTCAGTTCAGCTTAGACTGACCCTTAGGGACCGATCGTCTTAGACGGGGTCGGGGGTTTTCAGAAACGTGTGGTGTATCAAAACCTTACCCCCCCCCACACAAAAAATAATAACATATGAAAATTGTACCCCCCCCCCATTTGGCAATAACACTTTTTAAAATGCACCCCCCACCCTGCAACCCCTTCTAGACCAAGTCTCTTCTTTCATCCTTGGGCATTGATTTCATAAGCTGTAAGATTAACGGGTAGTGACAGCAGTGTAGCGTGAGACTTTCCCGAAGACGGAATTTTCTTCAGAGTAGGGGTCATTTACAGAAACCTTGCTTTGTTACTTGTTCACATTTTGTTATTACCATTTATTGTTTTGTTGCAAAATAAACATACTACACTTGCTAAAAATGGTGAAAATTTAATAAGCTCCCAGCCTCGAGTAAGCACCCACCGGATCGATTTCACTCCTATTGATCAGTGAAAGGATAAAGGAAATCCTAACACAAAAAAAGCAATATAATGCAAAATATTTATCCTGATTTAATGACAAATATGCTTTCAGGAAATTAAAAAGATCTATATATTTTTCCAGATTTCAGCTGTATGCATAGGCAAATGTGCATACATGCACACTAAGTCCCTGGTAGGAGAAATAGCTGATAGGTTCCTGGGCCAAGCTTTATACGGGTAACATTTTGTTGCTGACAAAGAACTGCCAAAGCATATTTTTTTGTCTACTTTTGAAGGAAACATGGATTTGCTTCAATCATAATATAGTCTGACAACATTTACATACTTTGACCCCCCTCACATTTTGTGCATTTTCAAAGTTGACCCCCCAAAATCAAGCCTCTTAGGAAATTGTACCCCCCCCCCCCATAAATGATTGGTCCCTTACCAAAACCACATATACTTATGTAACATATGTTTCATCGCTGCACATACATGCCACTTATATGGACATGCATGTGACACATGTAAATCTGAAAGCTTGAATGAGAACATTGTATGTAACACATAAACAACCTTTTTCGTAACTTTTTATATAAGATATAAATGTAATTCTGGAGGCAGATTTGGAGATCTGTAGAGATCTAAAATCTGGAGACTCTCTATTTTGCATTACCCCCACATATCAACAACCTGACCCGACTTCCCCTTCCCCCCCCCCCCCCCCCCCCTCACAACATAAACACAAATCGATTCTTTCCCCAAATTCTAACATGGAAATGGGAATGGCTTTGGACATTATATGAAGTCTTCTGTAAATTACACACCATCAAAAATTAGCTTTTCTGATTGTAGTGACGAAATAATCTTGCTTGTCTGTAATAAAATACATGTAAAAATGAGCCTGAAACCCCACTATGAATTTCCACCTTTCTGTGGAAATAGTGTAATAAGTCATTATTATTTTTATTATTATTATTATTATCCAGGCACGAATCCAGGATAAATACTGACTGATTTCCTAAACAAATGCCAAAGGCACAAGCTTCTAGGGGGAGCTCAAGGGCAGGCTCCCCCAGAAAATTTTTCAAATTTTAACTCCTAAAGGTCCCCTTTCCTGGGTTCCTAAGTCATTCAGACAGGATATTGGCAAGATTTCAACTTGGGAAGTTTTTTATATTAAAAATGTATTTATTTATGTAAAATCTGACAGATTTTTGTGAATCAGTGGAAACCAGTGTGGATCTGCACCTCAAAAGTGATTGTTATATGGGAGATTTGGTGGCCCCGTGCGGGAGACCCAGGGCCCGCGCAGAAGGGGAGGGGCTGGGGGGCCAGGGCTCAACCCACTTTTTGAAAAGTAAATAAATAAAATTAAGTTACATACATTTTCATATAAAAAGTCTCTATGTTGGAATAATAATATTCAGCTAGCAGACCTTGCAAAAGCATCTAAATTTATTATTAGTCCATTTCAATTCTATATCATTCTGATGTGTAGTACGCCTCAAAATGTTTATGCTTACAAAACTGCACTTAGGGAGCATTCATAATTTACCCAGAGGGTGGGCTATGATGATTTTGAGGGGGGGGGGGGTCACTCTTTTTCCCTACTATGATTTAGGGGGGCTGTGGAAAATTTCAAATGAAAATTACATCAAGCATAGGGGGGGCAACCATTTTTTGGATTTGCTAGTTTCTAATTATAAAAAGACTCAAGATAGTTTGATGCTCTCCAAGAGTTGAAAGATGACTTGCTAGATTATACAGCATGGCCAGTTGTTATGCAGTGGTTTAATGAAGATCATTAGCATCCTCTAAACAGATATTCATTTAAAAACACTGCACTAACAACTGGCCATGATCTATCAGATCATTAGCTTCTCAATCTGCTTGCATCAAATTTATATGGAATGCATGTTCAGTGCAACTAAAAGACTACTTTCTCTCCAGTACCAATTCAGATAGTTAAATTTATTATAAGCCAATCATTTAATCAGCTTTTCTCAAGAATGTCCAAAATAGAACAATTTTGAATTAAAAATGCATAGAGATTTAATTGTACTAAACATGATATTTTCATAAATTGTCATCTTGAAATATCACCATTTCATTAGTGCAAGTTGTTACTGATGATTTACTATGTTAATTACTAATAAAGCTCAATATACCTGTCACAAGGCTTTGATATGGCTAAGGGTGAGTTTGACATGTTGTACTTATGTGCTGGGGGAGGGGGGGGGCTATGATATTTTCCTTTGATAAATCAACATCTCTTGAGGGGGGGTCAGAAAAAAATCCCTGAGATTATCAGGGGGGCTTCAAAAAAATGAAAGGAAAAAATAAGGAAATCATCATAGCCCACCCTCTAGATAAATTATGAATGCTCCCTTAGTCACAAAACGTCACTTAGTCATAGACCTCTGCGTTTTCAAACTGCAGCCAGGCTATGTAGCATGCAACGATGCGGTATGGAGTCTTTTTTGATGAAGGTTCACGGTTAACTTTGAAGACTACTCCACGGAACTACAGTTTCTTTAAACTAATTATATGTGATATTGCATGCTTCAATGACATTCTAGACAAAATGAAGGAGTTCCGGAAACGTCAGAAGACCATAATCTGCAAACTTCTGCTGGTGAATCCTGCATGTGCAATCAGGGGCAGTAGAGAAAGGTTCTTTTATCAGTGGCTACATTAGGTTAAAAACATGGCTACATTCACCCTGACTCAAGAGAGGTTCAGTAATCTGACAGGTCTAATAAACAGCCACAAAGAGAGCAGCCATGCCAACATAGGAAATAAATTTGCTGTTCGTATCTATAATTAGATAAGAAATTTTGGTATTTTGAGTCCACCCCTCCCCCCCCCCGCCCCCCCCAAACTTCAAAAGAGGTGGTCACCAGCCCCTGTACTTTAACAACTGCTCCACGGGCCCTGAGACCGGGAGATTGGTACTGTATCTGGGAGTCTCCCAATAATCCTGGGGAGTTGGCATGTATGTGAAGTATTATGCACCATCTCACTGATCTTAAGTGGAAATTGCTGCCATTTGTAGGTCTGCAAACGCTGCGTCAGGCAAGAGCTGGTTTCCATTCAGCAGGGAAATATAACTTCAAAGCAGTGGAAAATGTATGGAACAGACTGTATGGTGAAAACAGTTTTGAGAAACAGTTCAATATACGTCACGTGGAGGAGGTCAGTGAAGAGTGTGAAACCAGACATGTTGTAAGTCAAGTGCAGCAAATTCAATTAGAGAGTGATATTCAAGGTAAGTTTTAATCCCCATTAAAGACAAATGGAAAATATTGGGTACTTAATTAAAATTATTAGGTTTCTAACTGCAGCTGCATACCTTTTCTGTAACCTACCGTATAAAATTAAGGAGAAGTCAAACAAATAGTCCTTTTTTCCTCGAACTAACTCGGTTTTCAAGACTCCTGCTAGGATTTTCATGTGAGGGGTGCAAGTCTCACAAGCCCTGCGAGTGTGTCTCGCACTTTTTTTAACCTTTGCTTCAGGAGTTTTGTTTGACCACTCCCGCCTTCTTGGCCTTCACAAAAATACGGGCTGTTTCGCAGTCCACAAAGTAGGGGTAGGGGGTTACTGTCAAAGAGTGTGGTCTGGGAATCCCATCCTTTCTCGAACCAAAGGAACCCACAAATTTGCTACCCCATTCCAGACTTAACAGTTAAGATATTGTATATTTGTTGTGTAAAGGACTTGATTTGGGTAAGCAGAAAGATGTAAAACATTATTGGACACAGGAAAGATACACTTTACGGGTCAAAACTGGAAGGCCATCACAGACCTGGAAGGTTAAAAGTGGGATCTAACGTGAAAAGGGCACATAGCTCTATATGGTATATAAGGTAGCAACCCCTTGGTCTTAATATTTCAAGAAATCTTAGTATTACATATTTTAGTCAGTAACATTGCATTGATATTAATTGTCGTTATATTTTAGCATTTCTCAGTAAATTAACAACATATTGTATTGATCGTGGATTTAAGAAAGTTATACATTCACTCTCGGAGCTAAATAATGTTGCCAACCCATGCATTTAACATAACATGTAAAATATTCTGCTCTTACCTATTCTGATTTTGTATTTCCACAGACCCTTATGGTGAACCATATGAGGTCCTTGCGAGGGGAGAAGAGGCAGTAAAAATCTTCAATCGAGCCCTTCGTGAAGGCAAGGCGAAGGTGACTCGACTGCAGCTCACAGTCATTGGAGATATTGGAGCGGGAAAGACAAGCCTGGTTCGAAATCTTAGTGGAGAGGATTTTGTGAAAGAAAGAGTCGAGACCCATGGAATCGATACGTCCATGGTTGAAGTGACAGAACTTGATGATTCTTGGCATGTAACTGATCTGAACAACTCCTATGTAGATGACATTTTAACAGATAAAGTTTGTGAAGGAATAAAACATTCCAGTGAGGCGAAGGGACGTTCAGGTGTGTATCAGTTGAGTTGTTCCGATCCAGGACCTTCGCCGCTAAGTCAAAAAAGGCACCGTCCACCTTTCACAAGGCGACTCCTGAGCATCGAGTGTGCTCCTGAACACCAAGAGGGTGATTCTGGCTCTGATGATGCAAGTGACCAAACAAGCATGGTCCCTTTCACGAGATCTAGAAGTGAACAGACGCCTCCGAGAGAAATACCGGTAGACCTTATTACACGGAAACTGAGTGAAGCTTCACTAACAGACAAAGAACGAAAATACATCAAATTCAGCATTTGGGATTTTGCAGGCCATCCCTTGTACCAAGCCATGCACCACGTGTTTTTGAACAGACGCTCCTTCTACCTTGTTGTAACGAATCTCGCTCAACTGTGCAACCCCGAGACTAAAGACCATGCTTTAAAAGAAATTCATTTCTGGCTCAACTCTGTCCGTGTCCATACTCCTCAGACCACACCAGTTTTCCTGGTGGGAACGCATCGCAATGCTGTCAGCGAGCAAGACATATCTAACGCAGAGAAACTTCTGTATGATGAATTTGCTGCAACCTTTGCCCAACAATTGGTCAAAAACCAAGAGCAGAATTTTTTATTCTCAGTAGAAAACACTCTTGGTAGTGCAGACGAGGGAGCTTTGCTATTAAAGAATACAATCGAAGAAGAAGCCTCCCGCCTTAAGCTGATGGAAGAGAAATTGCCTGTCTTGTGGCTTCACTTTGAAGAAGAAATTCTCAAGTGCAGGGAGAAGTCAGATTGCCCAGCCTGTGTAACTAAGGCTCTCCTCAAAAATATGCTAGTAGAAAGCAACTTTGATGTCTCGGATGAAACGTTTGAAAATATGCTGCGATTTTATCACGACAGTGGCGTGATTATCCTGCCAGGTACGGGGTGACTGAAAAACTATCTTTGGTTAGAATGTCTGTGCAGTTTAGTGATAACGAAAACAAATAAGCATGATAATCAGCTTGAATAACTGACACGTTCTGAAGTAAGTTTTACCACTACAGCCCTTCGCTCATCGTTGGTTTCTAAGGTGTCTAAGGTAGTAAACTAATGGAAGTGTTAACGAGACCTCCCCCTAAATTCAGTGCTAGTCAATTGCTGTTTTTCATACCATACGTTAACACATCTTAATATATTTCCTAATTACCCTGGGGCAATTTGTTTTTTCAGGAGAGTTAATTGGACCTGAGACGCAGAACACCGAGATAAGCAATCGGGTAGTGATAAACCCCCAGTACCTGGTTGATGTGATGACCTGTCTTCATGATATAGCAAATCATTTGGGTGTTGATCGAGAACATCACCCTCAGTGGCAAAAGCTGCAAAACCAGGGCATAACAGACATGAAGTTTTTGCAACATGTCTGGAAAAATTTCGAAAGCCCGGCCTCCGACCTGGTAGCCATTTTGGAGGTCTGTGGTATGCTGTGCGCCGTTTCAGCTTCAGTACGAGTAGAAGATCCTGAAGACCACAGTGAGCACGGTGAGGGCGGGGACATGGAGACTGGGACAAGAGAGTTCATCGTCCCCTTCCACCTCGAAGGAAAATCTCTGAAAGGAAAGTGGGAGAGGCTTTGTCGCAAAACCTGGCAGGCCATTTGCAATACGGATAAAGTTCTGATGTTTGATTTTCTTGGCTTCCTTCCCCCTGCCCTATTCCAGTACTTCATCGTTCGCACAGCTGCAAAGAGTAAGAGCAGCAGTGGCATGAGGCCTATCATAGCTAAAGAGATGGCTATCTTCTCTTTTGGTGACAGCTTCTTCTTCCTTGCGGAGACCTGCCCAAAGTTCAACCAGATTAAAATCAGTGCAAGGCATGTTGAGTTACTTTACAGCTGAAGTTTAGTGTACCCTGTCAATCAGTGTATTTCATTTCCTGTTTAATGCCTTTGCGTAAAAGAAAAATGGAAATATGGTCTTGATTTTTCAATGCTTTAATGGCTGTAAGAGAATTTTTTTGTTAATGGAACGATAAGTATGCCTCTTTCTCTACGTACTGATAGCTTGTAATTTCATAGCATCTCTCTTGGTCGCTTTTTTGCCTTAATTGCTGACTCTTCCACCAAGCTTTTACACTCTTTACTGCTGCCATTACATTTCTGGCCATTACCACGTTTTCGCTGCACAATGAATAGAATGAAATGAAAAGAAGAGAAATAACGACTGATTTCTTATCCACTCGTTAGGTACAAGAATGGAAAGAAGTTGCATGAATTTTTCAACACGCTAATGACAATAATGTCAGAAATTTGTCAGCACCAGTTTAGGTTCCTTAAGTTTGGTTTTGGCCCACTCTGCCCTAACAAACGTTGCCCAGGTACCTCTTGCGATGGCAAGGTTGTCAAAACAGACTCGTCCTCTGATGAGAGCGATGGTGAATTGGATGGCAACTCCACGTGCGATGAGGCAGATGACAGTCCATCCTCAGGGGAAATTCGTCCTCACGTAATCTGCATTGACCCTGCAGTGTCGTCTCGCCCTTTGTGGTGCAACAGCACACCAGTCCACGAGTTTGAAGAAATCAAGGAATGGCTTGTGAAGGTGATGGCATACTGAATATATAGCAATTGCTAATGACGCTTTCTTTAACATAGTCAAAGATGCACCCAGGAGGGTTGTAAGCTTGGTATGACCACTTGCTAGACATAAGCCCTAATTAAATAGACGAGTTTACCGACTGATGTATGACCTGTCGGGTTTGAATGACAAGAATTGTCTCTCAAGAAATCCTGTCTCATTCATCATTATCGTTTGATGAATTTTTCAAAAAAGGAGAAAATAACTAGCTGGACTGCAGTATCTTTACAAAGATAGTTTTGTGACGTGTCTATAGACTGTCTAGAGGTAAGACGTCTACCTGTAGTCAAGCTTTTTCGTTAGCTTTGATGAACTACATTTGCGTACCAACGATTTGGTAACCGCTGACATTATTTGCAGCCAGTTCATCTATTAACATAAACCTTTGAACTCTAACCTAAACAGCCTAAACTCGTTTGCTTTTTATCCTTCCAGCCCCAAGATACCGAATGCAAAGTCTCCGAAGATTCTCCTTGTTATTCAAGTGAGTAAAATGCCAATTAGACTATTCGTCCTAGACGTGATTGCTTTAATTACCATTGTATATTACAGCGGCCGTGTTCATTTGATACAGCGCTAGTTTTCACAGCGGGATGAGGCGGCTTCGTTTCCCGAGACCCAACCAATACTCAGGGTCATGAAATGACTCAGGGGCGTAGCTACCTGTACGCACGGTGCGCACGGAGGAACCTGAAGAAGTCCAGGGGAAAAAATAAAATAAAAAAGCGAAAGGTGAAAAAAAAAAACTAAATGAATTTAATAGTAGGAAGAAAACACACACAAACAAAAAAAATACCTCCGCCTGTCTTTGCAGTATACTGAAGAAAGGCAACGGAGGGTGCCAGTCCGTCGGTCAAACCATTATGGCAAACTGCGGTAAAAAAAAAATACTCATTACCCAGCGAGCAGATTTTTCTCTCTTGCATGGCTTTTAGCGTTTACGAAATCGTTCGCCTCGCTTGTCAGTCGCGTAGTTGGTTTGTTTTATACGCCCAGGGGCCAATAGCCAAAATCGAGTTTTCAAACAGCTACACTTCCAGCTTTGTTTCAACAGCCATACATTACCCTAAGAGAATTGGCGGGGGTGGGGGGAGTGATATAACTTAACTTCGTTTAGGAAAACAGCAATTCAGCATTGTTAGGAAGTGTTTCTATAGAGTTTATTGAAAAGGGAGGGCTCTAAATTTTGAGGAGATGCAAACGAGGAATCTAAGAAGGAGGATGGGAGCTCTTCTGAAATTTTTGCAGCTAGTATATCCCACCTTGATAAACTGTTGAATTAAAAAAGAACAGTTTATTTTTTATTAAAACAGAACAAGTTGACCAATGCTGTCAGGCTTTAGTTGCCAAGCTAATGGGTAGCAAATGGAAGTGGCTTGGCAGGTCTCTTGGTGTCGAAGAGACAGTCATTGAGAACATTAGGACGGAGAACGACTCACAGGAAGAGTGTGCCTTTCAAATCCTTCGAAGTTGGCAGGTCTCAAAGGGATCCAAAGCTACTGTTCATCTGCTGATGAAGGCAATTGAGGAAAATGGTAACGTGAACGCCATGGAAGCCTTTGATCGACACTTGGGTGAGGTTCATGGAAAAGAAACAGCTCAAGAAAGTCAGTGTAAAAAAGAAACTCGCTAAGTGGCCGATTTAATGCGAATTTAACCTCCGGTTGTTTTAAACTGGGTATCAGCATCCTCTTTCCTAGCCAGAGCGGTTGCCGAAGACAGAAAATGTTGGTCAGATAGCGTGGAGGCCTAATGCGCCTACTGGCGGAATGAGACATGATGATGATGATGATGATGATGATGATGATGATGACCCTCTTTCCTAACGTTATAAAAACAGACAGTTGGTTTCTGTGGAGAGATTCTTCAATTATGAAATATAATGGAGGCTGAGGGTATATATCTCTATATCAGGTGAAGATTTCCGCAGATCGCGAAGGATTTCAATTCACCCTTGGTGGATAACAGCCTCCGAGATCTACATAACTATTCATATCGTACGAAAGCCAAATTCAATAATTGTTTTATCATTAATTCAAAACATTTCTGAGTTCTTAACTTCCTCAAAAGGAGGATATTACCATCTTCCCGTCGTGCATTGTGGTCAAACTATATTATCACGGCCGAATCCCAGCGCGTGACTCATTTCAAAGTGTCGCCGCGGTGGAAACACAAGGGCACAAGAGAGAGCTAGAGAGATACACGAAATAATTAAGTATACTCCACGTAAATTGTGTCGATTGTTCGATAGAATTTCACGAGGTAGCTATAGATGCCCTTCTCAGGTCTGAGATTTTGTTTGCTGTTTAAATTCTTCATCGAGATTGTTTGACTGCATGTAAGTAAAAGCTGATAAACCCGGGTCTTGTTGCGGGGGTCGTCCGCGATGAAACAAATATTCAATAATACTTCTCAAACGCTGGCTGGTAATTTGTAGTAAAATATGCATTGAATAAAGAAGGTATCAAAGAATCTGGCTGCGAGAAACTCAGTACGCGAAAAAAAATACATCCATTATTGCCTAGTCTCCCTCGCAGCCGTTTTTTGGATGTCACGCAACGGGGAGCGTTGCATGACATCCAAAAAACGGCTGCGAGGGAGACTAATTATTGCCTGGATGATTTAAAACATGACCAGTAGATATCTTACTGAGATGGCGCAAATACGCGTCTTTCGCAGCTTCAAACACTGTTGACCTATAACACTACTGACGTGAAACCGTCTGATATACGAAAAAGTAAATAAATGCTATTTCAGTGGAAACTTGTTGAAAATATTACCAAATGGACTCCACGTGCAACGGGAGCTTGTCTCTCATCATATTAGATAACGCTAAAAATGCTCCACGTTTAAGATGAAACTTATCTGGGAAACTCACAGGCAGCCCAGACGTAGTATGTGTCACTGAATGAATATATTCACATTCACATGGACAAATTAATGCGATGAGTCGTCGAAACTCCCATGGACTAAAATAGTCTAAACGTCAAAATGTAACAAAACAAAGCTAAGATACCTTCAACTGAACGTATCCTTGTCTTTCCTGGCCGGTTTAAGTGGCATTTTATTGAGTTTTGCAATTGTAGGTACTATCCACTAAAGAAGAATTAAAGGCTGGCTACAAAACAAACAGACCATCTCCACGCGCCTTCACACGAAGCGCTATAAATTCGAGAATAATCGACGAATCCGCTCCAAATAACCATCGGCTAATCTGCAGGTAACGTGTGCTCCTGCTTCTGGCTCGCTTGCTCCACAAAACCCATCGCAACTGCACAATAATTGCTCGCTCATCAACAACCACTGTTGACCTTTACGCTTCGATATGACCGCAACCGACCAGGTATAATACGCGACGTGAATGCTCAAGCTTAGCGACCGCGTTCGCGCAACAATGCAGCACTTGCTATGGGAGGGATGGTTCTATTGCTTCCAGGTCAATCAATCGGGAAAATAATATTGAAGCCCTTGTAATTTTTCAAAAGATCCAGTTTGCCCAAGGAGCACCGAACAGATACGAATCTTATAGCGGAGCTAAAAGAAATGAGCGGCAGTGGAAAAAGTGAACAAGAACATGTACCACATTTTCTCCATAAAAAGTGAAAACCAGGAAGTTTTCTGGACGTTTCACGTTGCAGTCATGCAAATCAACGGCTAGGAAATGTACAAGAAAGTCTGCTGCAATTAGACCTATTGTTGTTTTTCACAGTTCTGTTCAAGGGCATCCAACTTTTAATTTTTCACATTTCACTCACAGGGTTAGGCTACTTTTCGTAGAGAGTAAAATGGAATCCTAAAATTTTCCGATTCAAAAATGTGATGAAAGAAGGTATCTGAAAAATTATCTCCTTCGTAATACGTTAAATTGCATCTAAAATTTTCGGGAAAATAATTCTGAATTCCTCGTAATTTCGAAAAGACTCAAGTTCCTCTAGAATGGCCGAACACTGAGATGCAAATTTTATAGCGCCACTTAGAATGCATTTCTATAGAGCTAAAAGTACTTTATGAATAGCTACAAAAGTGTTTTCAATTGAAAGTATTTGAGGAAACAGTCGTTGGGTGGCCCTGTCTCGTTGCCTTCTCCGCTTAGCATTACACGATATATTTTATATTTAGTATGAGCAAGCTATAAATCTTTAGCTACGCTTTTAGCCCTACTGACTGAATTTATGTAAGCGCTGTTTAAAATGCATTTTTCGATCAAAAGTACTCTGGACAGCCTTATATGTGTTTTCAATGCATGTAGAAGGAAATCATCGTTGGGTGCCCCTGAGTTTTGAGAATAATAATAATAATAATAAAAGATATCGCGCACATAAATTTTACTTTACGATATCTTCAACTGTATCTTCTATTCAGCTGCATAGCGGGGACCAGATTTTGCCTTTTTCCTGGGCGGAAAATTCTCGTCCTCCTTCACCAGTTTGGACAACATATTATGGAGTAAGACGTTGTTAATCTAAGCAAATAAGTCTGGTAGAGTCAAGAACCTATGCAAGCGGCTGGACGAACAATGTGACAGCAGCTGAGACAGCGAACGTTAGAAGAATTCGAAATTGAAAACCAGGGCTGCCCTGGTGAAAACTTACAGACGGTCCCGCGATCGCCTTTTGTTTTCTGGTCAAAACTAGCGCAGCGAACCATCGGTCAGTCGATTGACCTAGAAGCAATAGTACCATCCCTCCCATAGCAAGTGCTGCATTGTTGCGCGAACGCGGTCGCTAAGCTTGAGCATTCACGTCGCGTATTATACCTGGTCGGTTGCGGTCATATCGAAGCGTAAAGGTCAACAGTGGTTGTTGATGAGCGAGCAATTATTGTGCAGTTGCGATGGGTTTTGTGGAGCAAGCGAGCCAGAAGCAGGAGCACACGTTACCTGCAGATTAGCCGATGGTTATTTGGAGCGGATTCGTCGATTATTCTCGAATTTATAGCGCTTCGTGTGAAGGCGCGTGGAGATGGTCTGTTTGTTTTGTAGCCAGCCTTTAATTCTTCTTTAGTGGATAGTACCTACAATTGCAAAACTCAATAAAATGCCACTTAAACCGGCCAGGAAAGACAAGGATACGTTCAGTTGAAGGTATCTTAGCTTTGTTTTGTTACATTTTGACGTTTAGACTATTTTAGTCCATGGGAGTTTCGACGACTCATCGCATTAATTTGTCCATGTGAATGTAAATATATTCATTCAGTGACACATACTACGTCTGGGCTGCCTGTGGAATCGTATCCTTTACCGAGGACCTCAAATCTGGAATTCGTTGCCTATTTCACTAATTAGCTCTCCTTCTATATTTGTTTTTAAAAAAAAATTAAAGAATTATCTCACTGATAGCCGATCTGTCTCTTAATTTTCTGATATTGCTCACTCTGCACTCAGCCATGAATTTAGTTCATTAGGTAGTTGAAGGAAGCCTATTAATATAAGCTTCAAGCTTCGTTAGGCTTCCTTGTCACATTAATTTCATAATTTAATTCACAAATTTTGTTCATGTTGTATTAGGTTTTGTGAGTGACTAAATAAATAAATAAAAAATAAACAAAGAATATTCTTCCCTTTTCAACCATAGTGTAACGTTTAAAACACGAGCAGAAGTTCACTGATAAGAAATTCGAGCGCTCGAATTTTTAACCCGTGATAAGGCAAGTGCTGTGGGTGTTTTGAACAGCTTCAGAAACGTTCCCGGAGTAGTCATTTTAATAGGATGGTTAAATAATACATTTCTTTCTTCTTTTTTAAACGAGTGGATCGAAAATTGTCAAACTAAAGCAGCCAAAATACATTGTGGAACTGAAGTACACAGTAAAAGGTAGTGTCTGACTCGCGCCTTGTTCGCAATAAATGAAATGAAAGACAGTTTCTTCAGTTAATAACCACATTAGGGGAAAAGAATTGCTTCTGGAGAAAGTTGCTAGATCTAACTGCAATTGGGACTTTTGCAATGCTTGAATAATTCGTAAGTCTGACGCTCTTTGTGTCACTAAAACGCTCGAACAAATGCGCGCATACATGTACGAAAGCCTACAACACAGCAGCCAGGTTCAGCCGGCCATCTTCATCGAAACAGGTGAAAGAAAGACCCAGTGGTAAGACGACTTTCAAGACTAGGAATTTTTCAGTAAAGACAATTTCTTTTTCCAGTGGCAAGATAAGGTATAACGCCATTAGGTCGAATTCGTTTAGGGAAGAAGACACAAGCACTTCTGATTTTTTTTTCCACGAAACAACAATTCGAGATTATGTAAAACAGTGCCTGTGGCTTTTCTTAGAAATCACATGATTTTGCAGTTTGTGCTTTTGTGTTTTTTTCCAAACTTGGAAATAATTTTCCCTTTTTGGGTAAAGGGGAAAAGAATTGCTCCTGGAGAAAGTTGCTAGATCTAACTGCAATTCGGACTTTTGGATGCTTGAATAATTCGTAACGCTCTTTGCGTCACTAAAACGCTCGAACACATGCGCGCATACATGTACGAAAGCCTACAACACAGCAGCCAGGTTCAGCCGGCCATCTTCATCGAAACAGGTGAAAGAAAGACCCAGTGGTAAGACGACTTTCAAGACGAGGAATTTTTCAGTAAAGACAATTTCTTTTTCCAGTGGCAAGATAAGGTATAACGCCATTAGGTCGAATTCGTTTAGAGAAGAAGACACAAGCACTTCTGATTATTTTTTTCCACGAAACAGCAATTCGAGATTATGTAAAACAGTGCCTGTGGCTTTTCTTAGAAATCACATGATTTTGCAGTATGTGCTTTTGTGCTTTTTTCCAAACTTGGAAATAATTTTCCTTGTTTGGTATCAGAATAACATTAAGACAATTACCCAATTATTTGTTACACGTCGCTTAGCATTTTTATGAGTTAATCCATCATTTTTCGGTCAGGGTAATTTTTCTCAATTTCTCTTTCATTGCTCCCATTCATTGTAATAAAAAAGCCAAGATGGTGCGTAATAAAGTAACCTAATATCAGTCTAGAGAGCTCACGAAGCTTCGAAATCACTTTCTATCATGTCGAATCATGCATGAGATATGCGAGGAATTTTTTTCCTGTTTGTCTAATAGTAAAAAAACCTGCTACGTTCGCAGTAATATTTTTAATGGCGTGATGGGTTTTGTCGACGAAAGTTCGCCCTGTATAGTGATAGCATACGGCCACCACCGTTCTTCGACAAAGAAAGTCTGGTGAAGTATTCACAGCAACATCGACAACACATGTCAGAACCGTCTACTCTTGGTAAGCAAGAAAAGTGCTGCAAGTGCAGAATATCTTCCGGTCCTCATGACCTTGTACCAAACGATCTTCATTACGCTGCGTGTACAGGCAATGTTCAACTTGTCGCCAAACTGATGCAAAATGAGTTGTCCGACCAACCAGACAAATCTCACCGTTGCTGTTCAAAATTCCAAACAGGATATACACCGATGCACTGCGCTGCTTTCGGCGGACATTACGATTGCCTTAAGCTTTTGCTCAGTCAACCACAAGGAAAGCCAAACACTGCTGATCCCGTCGACGGAAGAACTCCGGTTCACCTTGTTTGCTGGAAGGGACATGCAGATTGTCTTAAGTTGCTTCTCGGTAACGGAGGTAACTTACATCTTCGTGACCACAAGGGGAATACGCCAATAGCCTTAGCACGGGATTACGCCTGTTTGTCAATAATTCTTCTCCATCTTCTTGGTAAGTAAATATGAAACACGCTAGGCCATAGGTAGGTTTTATTGAATTGTAGGTTGAGGGTTGAACGCATTCAGAAAGCCTTCCTTTCATCCGTAGTATGTACTCAGTGAACTGTGAACTGTACGCTTGTGGTGTGATCAGTAAGCAGGAGAAGGGTATTAATGTATTTTGTCGTTTTTTTTTTCTCTAGACTGTTCACAGTCCCCTATTTTCTCGTAAGATCGCCGGGATCGAGCGCATACCGGTCCGAGCGGTCATCTTGGTTTTATATGTACCGACGGGGTGTAGCGGGCGTCGGGGTTTATAGCACGGTCAGCGGCAGTGCTAATTTGTAAAGGGGAAAACTACGTTTTGTAAATTTTATGAGGTGTCCGAAGGGGCTACGGTCGATGGGATCTAATGATAACCTTATTGCGCTTCCTCCCAAACTCCCCCCCCCCCCCCCCACCGTAAGAAGATTTGACACACATCCAAGGTGGCCTCCCCTAACTCAAAGTCTTCGATCTCGACGATTTACTGAAAAATAGGGGACTTTGAACAGTCTATTTTCTCACTGATTGAAATGATTACTGAGAGCGTAAAACCTTGCTAATAAATAACCCTTACTATTAAACGATATATATCCTAAGAAAAATCCTGGATCCGCCCCTGTGGTTCGAGCCTGAACTTATACCCACACCTCACGTTTTGCAGACTAGTTCAATGTTGTCCAAACAATTGTTGTAATGCTTACTAGCTATAGTAATAACCAAAGGTAATGGGGTGCGAACGACAACGACCGAAGGTCAAAACGCTTTTGCTCCATCACTGTGCTAGTGTGCTTTACGTAAGCTTCACGTGAGAGATAGTCAAAACACGCGTGATCAGATTACGAATGATGGAACGTCCGAACACGGGTGATCAAATAGCCTGGGTAGCATTGCGGTTTTGGTTGGGCGCGCAAGGTAATAAAGGCGGGCGAGGGCAGAGAAACCGCGAGGAGATTGGGGCGGGAGCAACGATTTTTTTGGGGGGGCGGCTTTGCCGCTCAGTGGTGCTCCTGGCAAAACCGCCATGCTACGCAGACTAGTGACCAAATTGTGTTCTGTGCATTCCATTCATTCTTACTAAAAGTCCAAACGAAAGACGGCAACATAGATGCGAGGCATGCGTAATAACAACCCGGAGATTAGGACTGTGGGCTCCTCTTCTCGCCCGCAATTAATATCATTATTCATGTAAAATATGCTGGCGTATTCAATCTATAAAAACCGATATCAGAAAACCAATCGATATAAATCGATACTCACACGCTACGAAGTTCTAACATTATCGATTTTATCGTTTTTATCGGATTTATCGATCGTTATAGGAATAAAGCACCGCTGTGTCTGCCACGCGATGCGGCGGGAAGGTTTGATAGTTTTGCTAACTGACTGTGTGTAGTGGAACTATTCAGAACATTGAAACCTAGAGAGTTCAACCTACGTATTTCAAAGTGGACCTTTATTCTATTTTGTTTATGTTTTGCAAGACTTCAATAATTAATAAAGTTAATCTCTACATTGATTTATCACTATTGAAACTTTTGAATAAACAATAATATGAAACAAGTCTTGGATGAAATAAAGATTCTGCAAAAAAAATTTTAGACAATGACATTGGAAAGAATTTCTGGGTTGTTTTTGCATTCTAGTTATATCTGTTGTTGGGTTTCTTTTCGATACTACACGTGATAAGATTTTTCGATAAATCGATAAAAATAATTGAAAAATCGATAATTAACGATTACTCACATCAGATCCTTTTATCGATTTTTATCGACAACTATCGATTATCGACTTTGTCGCTTGAACGCAGGGAAAATATTTCTCCGCTTCTTACTGGCTCTAATCTAATCTAGGCGTTGATCTGATAGAAGAAGGGACCTCAACCGAGACGCGAAGTTGCGTTAGCTCAACTGTTATGTTAGAGCTGAAGAATGTGAATTTTGATGTCCTTTTGCCAAAGCTTACAGTATTCCTTTTTAATATAGATCTATTTTTAAAAATAAAATATTCTTCAAATTTTAGACAAAACAGATTCTTGTACATAGAGTTCACCTAACCGTCAAATTATGGCCTAACAGGTTTTTAAAACCAGGTTATTACACGCGGGTTTTTACTGTATAAAGAGTTAGTCGACGTTCTTCGAGTGGGTTTTTGTGACTTCTTGCAATTTTACACTGCCGCCTGGTTAGCGCAGTTGGTGGAGAGTGCCGGTCTGCTGAGCGGGAGGTCGCGGGTTCAAACCCCCGGCCGGAACAACACTCGGGGTCATTTAATAACTGAGAGGAAACTGCTACCTTTGCAATGACATCTGCAAACGGTTAAACTTCTCGGATAATGACGAAAAAGCGTAGGTCCCGTCTCACAGCACTTTCACCTGTCTGGTTCTTGTGTGTAGACTAGTTCGAAAAGAGTAGAGGCAGTAGACCCCGGTGGTGTGTCAGACCTTTCCTGGGCTGGGTAGGTTAGTCTGCAAGGAGAGATCTAGATATAGGGATATCCACGTGATCCTCCTTCAGGAGTCGTAATGGCTACCTGTAAACAGTGTATGTATGTTTTATACCCATCATACTCAGCACCATGCAATAATTGTTTATCATTTTTTAAAAGATAAACAACAAATCCTGACCAGTTAATTACTTCCCCAATCAACTACTGAACGTTAAATGTAATTCTATGTATTGCCGAATTTTTTTGTCTTTTAAGTATATCTGAAATTGAAGTTGTTTAATTTACAGATTATCTCGTTACAAGTGAGGAGGCATCACAGAAAGCTGTTGTCTCTGAGGCTGTGGTACATGTGTGGTTCAGGCTCCACAGTGAGTATGGTGTAATTCCAGATCTAGAATCATGTGATATTGACGAGATCGACAGAGCATGCGCACCTCTTGTATGCTACGCCGAAACAGCTGAAATTCCCGGTAAGTTTTCGCAGCTAAATGTAATGGAGACATAAACGCGAAAATGTATTCAACAGTGTCTAAATCTAAGTCCAAATCTAAGTTAATTACCATATCAATCTCCCCGGCCCTGCGAGATATATATCATACAGGAGTATAATCAGCGGTCTTTGCTATAATAGTGGCTAGTGTTAACAGTCCTTGAAATGTTTAAATTAGATAGGCCATTTTTAAAAGACTGGGTTGAGGTTGTGGTTTGTTCTTTGGTGCATTTTTACCCATAATCGATTCATAAGGACTTCCACTTAATTGCGATGACTGTTAATTACAGAGATAACTTCGCATACGACTTTCCTCTATGACCATATCATTTGCTTGTTTTTGTATGAGGTCATTTCCGAGTTAACCCAAGCCTCTTTTTCAAAGCAAAGCTAAATGCAAAGCCATAGATGTGAAAATGAATTTTTATTCAAATGCAAATAAAACTCTATTTCATAAGAAAAGTTCTCCACTTAGCCTCGTTTTTAAAGTGAATGTGGCCATGTTTCCCTGAATTCAACTTGCCTCTGCAAAAGAAAAACAGGGTGTTCCCAATTGTATACCCTTTGCAGATTGTCCTTTAGTTTATATGGAATACATACATGTTCCTGCATAGTGTTTAGTATATCAGAATGTTTATTAGTCGGGTATTCATCAGCTAAACTACTCAAGTAAATAAAGGCATGGGTTAAAAGCTATTTTCGTCGAAAACTGAGGGGGTGGTCTATATTGTCACTATTTATCGTAAACTGTAAATTGTGAGTAACATGCGATTTCTCCAAAAGTTTTACTTTTTATCACATAAAAATTATGCAAATTAGATCACGCGACCTCCTACGGCCACAAAGTCCCAAAAAATCTTTAAACTAAAATGGCAGCAGTTTATATTCGAAGTTATTCAACTTAATTTCTACAAGACAACTTACAGTATACAGAACTACAAAACCGTGCTTGGCAACATTTGAATATGTAATTACTTTTGTAGATAAAGGGTTTTTTTGAGTCCCCCATTACAAGTAATTCCTTTAATGAAACTTTTCCTTTACAATATATTAACATTGCCAAGCACAGATATGATATACCTCAAGGCCTTAAAATTATGCAACTAGTAAAAAAATTAACGACACAAGAAAAAGTGTGCGCATTTTAATTAAAGGCTTTTTTAGCTGTGGCGAAAAATAATAATATGTTTGTCCGACGACACTTTTTCACTGAATAAGTATACAGGCCCATTAACTTGAGTATGCGAGGCACTTTTTGTTTTTGTCAAGGAAGTGCGGTTGGAGTTGTTTAAAGGTCATCCCCTGGGCAGCGTTGATAATGATTCTAAAAGTGAGTTGGTGATTAAAAGACTTTGTTACAGCGAAAGTAATACAACTTGGCCCGTTTGTTTCTGCACAGAGCCTGAAGAAGCTACAAATTTGCAGTCAAAGAGAAAAATTCCGGAGGAACATGCTTCACAGTGTTTGCCAAAAGTAGAGGAATCACAAGTTCCTTGGCTTCATTTTGAAGAATTAGTTCTCAAGTGCAGGGAGAGTGCGGATTTCCCACCTTGTGTTCAAAAGGACAAACTGAAACAGATGATAGACGTGGATGAAACGTTTGAAAGAATGCTGAACTTTTATCACAACAGAGGATTGATCATACTCCCAGGTAACTAGTTATATTTCCATTCTGTGAAGCATTGTTTTGGTAACTTGAACTTTTTTGTATTGTGAGTTATACAAAATAGATCAAAGTATTGAACATAAGTTAAAAGTTCTAGGCTTTTATCACAACTAAACCTACCCAAGGCATTTAGCCCAGAACTATAAGCTGAGCCCTAATGATCAGTTTTTTACAGTCTTTAAACGCCTGACCCTGTTTAAGACAATAATTGCTCATTTCGCCACCCTGTTTAAGACAAGAGACCTTATTGTATGACCCTGACTCGTTTCTTTTTGCATACAGACTTTTCATCCTAATATCATGGAACTAAATTTTTTTGGGAAAAATCTTTAGTGCCACAAATGTAGACCTGCAACCTTTACAGTTTTTTAATAGCTTCCTGTCCAAAGACAGACCCTGTTAAAGAGGCCAAATAGTGAAATTGTATACCTTCACTGAAAATCGAAAAAGATCTGTTTCAGCCCAAAAGTATGAATTCAGCCCTGAAGGCCAAGGTCTGATTCAGCCTTCCTGGAGCCAAAAAAGGCCAAAAAAGCTTAATCAAAAGGCTATTCCAGCCCACGCTAGGGCCCATTTCAGCCCTTGGGACCAAATCAGCCCTAGCTAATTGGAGTGTATTGGCCCTGATTTAAGGAAGCCAAATTAGACTCAAAAATAGGACTGTATTTTACTCACCAAAACGGCCCCATTTTTAGGGCTAAAACAGATCTTTCTGATTTAGAGTGTTGTTTAACACTCGGGACCCTGAAAACCATACCCTGTTAAGCGGCACATACCAGTCTACGCCAAATAAGGGAGTGACCCTCAGACTCCTTGGCTGAACTGGCCTGTAATCCAAAGCTAGTCATTTTTTTTTTAATGATCTACCTCCAGAAAAGTTAATCACAGCAGAGAACCAGAGCTCCGAGATTAAAGACTTGGTAGTAGTCAAACCCCAGTACCTCGTGGATTTGATAACCAGCCTAAGTAAAGAGCCAAATCCCTTGGTGTTTGCTCAGCGATATAAGCATCTCTCAAAGAAGCTACAAGATAAATGTATAACCGACATCGACCAGAAACAAATCTTCAGAGACCCAGCTAGCCCTGTAGCAGAGATTGTTCGCAGTTTAGAAGAGTTTGGTTTGCTGTGTCCCATTTCAAAATTACCACAAGTTACTGAACCAAAAAGCCACGGTGAAGTTCACGACATTGAGACACGGATAGGCAAAGGGGAATGTTTGAAAAGAAAATGGAAAAGGCTTTGTGAAGAAAACTGGACTGACATTTGCGACTCGGATAAAGTTCTTGTGTTTGATTTCTACAGGTCTCTTCCTCCTTCCCTCTTTCAGTATTTCATCGATCGCATAGCTGTGGAAAGTAAACGAAGCTATGGCATGAGGCCCATCAAAGCCAAAGAGATGGCCATCTTTTCTTTTGGTGACAGCTTCTTCTTCCTTGCGGAGACATGCCCAAAGTTTAACCAGATTAACATCAGTGCAAGGTAAGGCAATTTACCTTACGAAGCTGCAACGTTAATTACACTGTATTTTGGCCTGCGTAGCTGGCGGGACTGTTGTGCCCGGGGTACTTTCTTGGCGGCAGAGATGCCAAGCGAAAAACTGATTTGACTAGCTCCCAATCTTCGCTAACTTTATTCTTTCTTTGTTAAACGCCTTTGGTTAAACAAAAATCGTTGTTGCCTTGCTATCGCCGTGTCTTTCTTTGTCATTATCAAACTCTCGCACTTTTTATTGCTACCTGTTCTGGCCATCGCCATGTTTTCCGTTTAAAAATAGGATTAAATGGAAAGAAAAGAATTAACGACGGTTTGTTTTCCACTTGTTAGGTACAAGAATGGAAAGAAGTTGCATGAATTGTTCACCACTCTGATGACAATAATGTCAGAAATTTGTCAACACCAGTTTAGTTCCCTTAAGTTTGGTTTTGGACCGATCTGCCCCATCAAACAATGCCCAGGTTTGTCCTACCATGG